ATGGCCCAGCCGCGGGTGCCTACAGTCACTACAAAGCCCGGGTTGCGGGAATTATATTTAGTTTTCTTAGGTTTTTTTTTTAAATCACCTGTTGTCTTTTTGCCCACAGCGGCACGGGGGTCTGGGGCTACAACACCAGCATTTTTCTCCCAGGGACTTGTCAAACCCCGACAGGGCAAAGGCACTTGGAATTGTGGCTCCCACCACTTCTAAGAGCTCCGCAGTCGGAGGAGTTGGTTGGACTTTATCAGTTTCACATTTGGGAGACGTGAGTGAGCTGGGCAGCTTGCCACAGAACTTATCCAAAAGGGAAACAAAAGCACCATGAGCCCTTTTCTGGAGAATACAAGGTGACCTGCACAAGGACCTTGCTCTGACTCGCTGGATGAACAGCGACAACAAATCTGGTGGAACTTGCATGGATGAGGATTATCTGCGCAAATAAAGGTTGGCAGGTTCATGCCCTAAATCCTCAGAATTTGTCAGCTATCCACACCCACAAATTTTATTGTCTGTTTATAGGGTATTTGCAAAATGCACTTGATAAGCGTGTGGTGTGACAAGAACACACGGTGCTTTCTCTCAAGATGAGACCTGCCCACGCGTAGAACTTGCCAGCCAACCCTCATTTTTTTCTACCGTCTTTCAGATGCAACAGTTTTGCCTGTGACCTTCCCTCTGATGGGCTCGGAGAGCAGGCACGGCGTGGGGGTGACACAGCTACAAAACCCCCAGTGCCTGTTGTGTCCCTGTGCAGCGCATCCCTGCCGTGTTCCCAAGAGTGCTCCCCATGGGCTATTTTCAGACTCGCCAAAGCAGTTACTTGTCACACAGGAGACACCCACGCCTGGGGAGACTTTCTGCTTTTGTTCCTTCCAAGCTGCTTGGATTTTTAGATTAAACCAGGAAGCAAATAAACAAAAAAAAATATCCAAATCCCTACACTTTTGCACATTTTGCACAGCAAAATGCCTGCAAGAGAGCAGAGCTGTGGCCCTCTCCCACAATCTTCTGCCACAAGCTGCAACTCCAAATCCAAGAACCTCTGCTGCTTTCTACCTAGGGAAACTTAGAGGTAAAGCAGGTGAGAAACCAAACCAGACTTTATTTCCCAGAGTGTCTAATCCCAGAGGAAAAGCAGCAATGACTCTCTGCAGTCATGTGCGAATCCACATCCATTAGCCCGAGCAGAAGGCTAATCTGCCTCTGCAGTATTGTCCCAACCCATGCTGTTTAGGGCAAACCAGAAGTTTGTGGCATTTGCAGTTGCTGGCAGAGCCAGTCAGAGGAGCTCTACCTAACCAAAGCAATGTGGGAAAAATCTAAATTTGTTTTCACTTAAGCAGCAAGTCAGAACTGGGATGGTGTTAGACACATGTAGCCCAGCTGTTTGCCATTTACGATTTTTGCTGATGGTACAAAAGCCAGCCGTGAAGGGAACTCAGGTGAAGCTGGGAGAGGGGTAGGAATTGGAGGCTCTCTTAAAAACAAACAAAAATACTTAAAGTAAATGTTCATCACACCTCAAAAAGGAAAAAAACCCCTAATTAAAAAAAATAAATCGCATAAACAGCAGATTCAGATGAAAACCAAGAGAAACTGAATTACTTAGAAGAATGTATTCAGGGTGAAGAGAACAGCACGTGAAATAGCAGAAAAATATAGTGTAACTGAAAAACATTGGAAATGTCCCACCTGAGATCACATTAATGCAGTAACTACACGGAGTTAAGCACAGCTTTTGAAAAGACATTAAAGAAGCTAATCTCAACCTTCCCCTGAAGTGATAGCAGAGGTTAATTTACACAAGCAGCAAAATGGGAGTGGGGGGAAGGAAGTGGTTAGAGGTTATTAATACAAATGATCAAAGCACACACCAGGTCAACACAAGCCACTGTTTTCACCTCGATAAATGAAATCTAACCACTCTATAATGGAACTCTTGGGAAAATGTCTGTTGTAATAGTACAAAAGCGTAGCAATCATCTTGAGGACTAAGTCCTGAACTCTTAAATTCTAATTATACGTGTTTACTGGACTCTCCTGAATCCAGGCCCACCCAGCATGTGCATGACTCAATTGCTCTCTGAAACAAAGGCAAGCCAGAATGCCACACAAAATGAGAAAACACAAAAGCAATGAACAGGTTAACGTTCACATCTTCAAAGTGTTGTACAGAACGCTCAATAAGTGCTAAAGAACTCCATTGTGCACATGTAGGACAGGAAAGAGAGTCCCTGTATCAGATTCCTCCCACTAAAGTTCCTTGTACCATGCAACACATTTCCAAGTCAAATTTTAAGACCTTTAATTTCTCCAGCCTCGAGTACAGTAGTGCAGTCCCTCTTTATATCTGCCCAGGAATCTGCTTGTATCACTTCCAGCACAGTCCTCTGGCTTGCTTATAGCAACATCCTCCTCCCAAAAGTTTGCTCCAACATACTGAATCAAGTCCTCACCTGGAGCTAGACCCAGTCCTCAGAGGCTGCACCTCATCATACACCTCTAGGGTTCTCGTCAACCACACAGCATTTTCTAACAGAACTTTTGCCCAACACCTTCTCTCACACATATTCCTACGGGCTTGGAAGCCTGCCAGTATGGCCAGTTTCACCTCACTTTATTTAAGAAGGTAAATCCTTTAATGACATTCCATTTTCAAACTGTGTTCCAGCACAGATACTTCACCGTGGGGCAGCCCATGGCTGGGACTGTCCTCGTAAGAGTTATCGAGGACTCAGAGAAGGAGTTTTCTTCCAGTGGTCCTGCAAGGCTTACTAAGGAAGATTCAGGAGGAACTCGTCCTTTCACTCCAGAGCTTAACCTTTCCAAAGCCAAGGCTTTTGAAGTGACCTTCAACCACTTCACTGTTCTACTAGCGCTTATCATCAAAATGATATACCAGGGTTTTTTTTCAACCAGCTGTTTCATTATTTCTTGCCCTAAAAGACAAATATAGGAAGGCTATGGTCATTAGATTAGTCCTACCACTTCCAGATGACCCACGAATCATATTTATCAGTCATTGCAAGCAGTTGGGAAATCTGAAATCAACAAGTTAGAGGGAATATAATAGAAGCAATATGATAATTACATTTTCCACATTATCATTGATTAACAGTAGCCTAAGCATTAGCACAGAAGCCACTGTAAGATCTGAATCTCAGCATTAAAAAAAAAAAGTTCTTCATTTAAACCTGAAGTATCAAAATAGAACAAGCACTTTCTATCAGAGCACTACTATCCTTTCTCCTATGTCCCATCTCAATGCAACTGAAGCTATACACACTTTATTTCCATACATATATGTGGTTTGTAAAACCAACTTGGACTGTGCCAGACGAAAGACTATTTAAATGCAACTCTCCTACAATACACTGAATCTCCACTGAACTAGTATTAAAGCCTAAGTGGTACCTGTCTGTTTTGTTTTTTTTTTAATTCCACCCTTCTCATCTGAGTGACGGTTTAGATCCAAAGATAACGGGGAAAGAGATCCCTGTCAGAAGTGCAGAGCAGAAAGCTGGGCTGTGCTGGAGTGACAAAACTTTATTTTTTGGTTCTGCATCAGGGATCTTGGCATACAGGGCTGTCTCAATACCACTGGTATTTATAAAGTGATCTTGTAAGGCACTGGGGTGGATGAGCCTGGGACCAATAAATGCTTCTGACCTCTAGCTTGAAAGCACAGGCATAGCAAAGCATACAGGGGGAGGTAAAAGCTCTGCCTTGAAATGCTTACTGGGTTCATGACATAAGATAATGCATATAGTTGGTTACACAATGAATTATCCACTGCAAACTAATTAAACCAAAATAATGGAAAACTATTCTCAGCTAAATTAAACTCTAACACGAGACACAAAAGAACCACCTGCATTACCAGTGAAACTCCAAAGAGAGATGGGTGTCAGCAGGGAATCACTAGAGATGTGCCAAGGTAGACCATGTTGCTTGTGAATCGGAGACCTAGCTTAGGGGTGGAATTTAAGGACATGCTGATAGTAACAGAAATCCTGAAGTTACGCTAGCAAGAAGAGTTAAACAGTTTCCTTAATTTGGGAAGCTTATGTTGAATTGTCTGGTATGATGGCCTCAACCACGGTAAATTCATTCTATTGCAGATCAGACTGATGTCTGAAGATGGGGTAAGTCACTGGCGTTTCTCTCATCACTGCAACAACTTTTAAGTAGAAAGTTAAACATGAACATAAATGCTTTCGGATACAATGCAAACATGAAGCGCATAGACAACTACCTCTTCTTGTAACCCAACACTCTTCCTCTGGCCAAGTATGTGAACCACAAGATAACATTCACTTGCAGTGGTATTTGCCTTATAGCACTGGAACACACCACCACCGAAATATAAGAGTTTCACAAATGAAACACATCTACAGAAACAGTTTGTTACTGTACAAGTAGGTGAACAACACAAGTACTCAACAAAACTGAAAGATTAAATACTACTTTAGTGGCCAAAACACACATAACTGTTATGCTTGTGGTAACTGAGTGGTTTGAGAAACAAGCATTTGTATCCTTTCTCCTCTCTCCAAGTTTATTTACTTTTCAGTTTCTGAGTCCTGTCCTGATGCTTGCATTAATTGCTTAGGACCTTTTATAAACAGAAGCAGGGAAAAAGAAAACAATCTCTAAAACAGCAATCAAGGCGGCTGGCAAAGCTGTTCACAATAGCTCACAGAAACCAATGTAACATCTGAGATGAGTTTAAGCTTGTTCTTAAAGAGAGTGGCTTTCAAACTGGCTGCATTCCATTAACGACACTTGCCTACCCAATGGTCTGTTGAGAGTTCATGATTGAGGACATCAGCTACAGGTGTCTTACCTTTGGAGGCTTAAAAGGATATTCTGGTGTAAATGTGATGTCAAGGAAGAAAACACCTCCTTCATAGACTGAACCTGGAGGTCCTAGAATGGTTGATCTCCATTCGTAGATGTTATCACCTTTGGGGCCAGCACTAAGGGATTAAAAAAAAAAAAAAAAAGAAAAAAAAAGATTTAGGAATATTACCACAGATCAAATAAACACTACCTCTTACATTTTTCAGGTACAATATAGAAGAAAGTTTTCAGTGTCACACACTTCACACACCACCCAAAGTAAAGTCATGGATTAAGAGCCGATTGAATGCTTCCAAAAATTCCAGAGAACTTACTGGTGTTCTACACTGCATAGAAAAGCTGAGAAACTAGAGGTGGGGCTTGGTTTTCAGCTTCGCTCTCCTGACATTGGTAAGAGCGGCATTGCCCAGAATTACTCCTAAACATGCTACATAATCTCAGCACAGCAGAAAAGTTAATTTTCAAAGAACAATTTCCTACTGTATTCCAGAAATAGTGCTTCCAGCTCAGCCTTCATAAAACTGTATCATATCAAAAACCATATTAAATAAATTAAGGACTTATGTTGATTTTAATAATCTTGTGTTTTCTTTAAAATTAAAATATATTCCTGTATTATCGCTAAACCAAGGCTCATAGTGTAATTGAAAGAAGCCAAATACATGATGATACTCTTAAATGTCAAAATTTTCTACACTTTTAAAATTTTGTTACACTGCTTTCTAAAATGAGGCCACATGAACTCATCCCACTGGTACTGTTTGTATTGTGAAACTGTTTTTGTAAAATTGAAATTAGGGTGTCAAATTAAAATGTCGCTTTCTTAAATCAGCCTCGCCTAATCCTAGGTCCTTCCTAACCTGCAGCTCACCAAGAGCAGTACAGACTAAACGTGTTACAGCACAGAAATGTCTGCTTGTACAAAATTCGTTTTACTGAGATCCTCAGACACTTGTATTCCGTAGTGTGCCATATGTCACTGAGTATTTCCAAGTACAGCTCAACCTATCAAGCCATTAATGGTTTAGGCTCCACTGCTACCTCCTTCTCTCTGTGCTGCTATGGTAGTATTTTACTTGTAAGATACAAGAGCTGAAAACTCCCTTTACATAAAGGGAGGTGCTGACACAGCTTTTTCCATCATGGATTTTGCAAATCTCTTCTCTGCTTGTTCTATAAGGAGCCACACTTTAATGTCCATAATACAATTAAAACCAGCCTTGCTCTTCTTTCTCCGTTCTTTTAACAAGGCTCATATGAGACAGGAGCATTAAAAAAAAAGGCTCTTTTCATATTATAAACAGTCACAGAGCAATATTACTTGAGAAGGAAGATGATCCAATAAATTCAACATATACATGACAATATGCATTTGATTAATGTGAAGGGAACCAGAGTAATTGCTAGGTGATAGAAATACACTCACAAAAATGTAAATTCTCAGTGTAACAACAGGGATCAGAGACATGATTTCCCCCCGCTGCTCTTTGCAGTACTGCTGAACATCATCTCAATGGCAAGGGAATCAAGGGAGAGAAGGGGAGATAATTCTGTTATCAAGCTTAAAATTTTATTTGCAGATTAAAAGTTCACAATATGTTGGTGCTAAATAGCTCAACAACAGCAAAGCTATGACTAAAAGCATGCTTCCAGCGAAGGGAAATCGCATATGAAAGCAGTAAAGGGAGACAGGTTCTCTGCAAAGTGATGCACTAGGGAAA